AACTTTGACACGTTACACTTGGTCCCCAATTCCAAATCATCGATGTATGTTGTAAACAATTGCAGTCCCAGCACTGATCCCTGAGGCACACCACTAGTCACTGTTCGCCAACCAGAACAGCACTCATTTACCCCCACTCTTTGCTTCCTGTTAGTTAACCAATCCTCAATCCATGCCAATACATTGCCTGTAACGCTGTGTACCTTTATCTTATGGAGCAGCCTTTTGTGCGGCATCTTGTTGAACACCTTTTGGAAATCCAAATTCACCACATCTACTGGATCCCCTTTGTCCACTGCACTCGTAATGTCTTCATAAAATTCCAGCAAATTAGTCAAGTTTTACCTGCCTTTCAGGAACCCATGCTGCGTCTGCCCAATGGGACAGTTTTTAATCTCGATATCTTGCTATTTCTTCCTGGATGATAGATAATGAGCCTGTATCTTCTGAAGTTTAGAAGATTTGGAGGTGATGAGTGAAAATGTATAAGATCCTGAGGGGACTTGACCAGCTGGTGGATTCCCTCTTTGGGGGAATCTAGAACAAGGGGTCACTTTTTAAAAGTAAGGGGCTGTCTGTTTAGATCAGAGATGAGGAAGATTTTGTCTTCCAGAGAGTTGAGAGTCTTTGCAATTTCCTCTCCTCCAAAGGCAGTGGTGACAGGATTATTAGATATTTTTGAAGTAAAGGTAGAAAGATTGGTGATGACCAAGGCAATGAAAGATTATCAGGATATGCAGGTATGTGGAATTGTGGTTAAAATCAGATCAGTCATGATCTTATTGAATGACAAAGCAGGCTCAAAGGCCTGAGTAGGCTCCTCTTGTTTCTTGATATTGCGCACCAAAGCACTTCATCAATGTGAGTCTGTAACCAAACATAATATTGAGCTCTGTCAGGAGATAACAAGACCCATTAGCCAATTAAAGGAGTTTTCTAGAGGTGTTGAGGGAGCTAGACAGGGATGGTGGAAGGATAGAGGTCATGGAGCCATTTAGGAAGGTAACCTCAAGCTTGGTGTCCATGCAGCTGAGGCCACACAAACTGGGGGAGGGGCTGGGAGAAGACTTGGTGTTTGGTTGATGTAGTTGACCACTTTCCCCTTGGTAACTTGGTTGTCCTCTCTCTGTTTTGTTCTCCAGGTAGAACTGGAGTCACCACTTCCCTGTTGCCAGGTGTACAGATAGGGATCATGCCAGGTACTGCCCCCTCCTGCACTGTCAGAGTAGAAACAGGCCCTCCATGGGGTAACTGACTCTTCAGCAGCTCCCATGTACAGTACGGGTTGGGTGGTGAGAGTTGGTGGACCCTGGGCACTTGCTGTGTTGCTTGTTATATCTTCCTCTGCACTATCTTGGGATCCTCTCTGTCTCTCAGTTGTGTGATTTCTACACTGGTGACACATAGTGCATTACAATGTAAATGTTAGAAGTTCTGTTGCTGTGATGTATTGGGTGTTTTGGTATGTCTACAAATACTGCATAGTGGGCCAATGGCCTCCTTCTGTGCTAAAGATGATGATGTGCTCTGTAATGTGTGCGCGCGCGGGGAGCGAGTCTGGAATGTGTGCGCGCGCGGGGAGCGAGTCTGGAATGTGTGCGCGCGGGGGGAGCGAGTCTGGAATGTGTGCGCGTGCGGGGAGCGAGTCTGGAATGTGGTCCACTGTCATGTGAATAAAGGACTGTTGGTGTTTAATTTGTACTTGTTTGAAATGTAGTGCCCTGAGATTTGAACAGTCTGTGTGTGGGACCTTCGCCTGCGGTGGGCCCACAGAGGATGGGATGATGTTGAATTTGTGTAGCGTCAGACACATTCTCTGGTCAATAACTTGGCTCCTCTGCCCTCAGATTGGCTGTTTGTGGTTCTGGTGGTTCTCGGGTTTGTCATTCTGCTGATCCTGATTGGTATCTGCTGGTGCCAGTGCTGCCCTCACACTTGCTGCTGTTATGTACGGTGTCCATGCTGCCCAGAGAAATGCTGCTGCCCATTTGCATGTGAGTAACCCCTATCTTCATTCACACCTCTCTCTGTCAACGTGGAATATTCCTCACAGCAAATCTTTCACTCCGCACACTATACTCGCAGTAAATATTGTAACAGGTTGGTGCAGAGAATACCTCTGGAGGGAATGGGGAAGGACAAAGAGCCAGAACAAAGGTCAGGACTGTCACATCAGTGTTGCATGGATGTCAGGAAGAACTTCCTCAAACAGAGGATCAGTCACGCACTCTCTCTCTTTCTCACACACTCTCACACCCTCACTCTCTCGCACTCGTGCTCGGTCTTCTGCACCCTCACCCTCCTGCCCTAGCGCGCTCTCAACCCTCTCACATCCTCTCTCACCCTCGCCTTTTCTCAGCCCTTGCGCACTCTTGTGCTCTCTCTCGGTCGGTCTCTCTCTCGCGCTCTTGGTCGCTCTCGCTCGCTCGCATGCTCTCGCACTCTCACTCACGCTCTCAGTCACTCTCGTTCTCACTCACTCGCATGCTTTGGCTCTCACTCTGTCTCACACTGTTGCACTACAACAACCTGTCGTGCCTCAGAGTGGTCAAACGTTTGAAAACTCTGGTCAAGTTTTGATGGGTTTGGGGATTGAGGGTGGCCTTGTGGAGCTAGAATACAGATCGGTCGCAATGGGGAAACAGCCTCAATGGGCTGAATGGCCTCCCGTTCCTGCGGAGAGCGAGCTGAATGGCCTCCTGTTGCTGTGAGCATGGGGGCTGAATGGCCTCCTGTTGCTGTGAGCATGGGGGCTGAATGGCCTCCTGTTGCTGTGAGCATGGGGGCTGAATGGCCTCCTGTTGCTGCGTGATGATTGCAGTTTAAGGGAATGTTGTAGAGTGTAATAATTCGGGAATATTTCTCACAAGTGACTGATTGAATGTGTTTTTTTTTTGCTCCTCCCCAACCCCCACCCCACCCCCAGTATATCACGCGGGAAAGGCAGCTACAGCGGGTATTCCTAGTCTCTATGCCCCGAGTACCTACGCTCCCAGTGTGTACTCCCACCATAGTCAGGGAAAGATACAGCCCCCGCTCCCAGTCATGGTCCCAATGACCCAGTTCAATGGAGGCTATGGATCAGATTTTGATGGAGCCAGCTCAGGTAAGTCACCAAATACTGCAGATGTTGAAAGGAAGGTTGGGGAACACCGGGAATAGTTGGCAGTTCAGGAATCGGCTGTAGAGAGACAGAGACGGCACCGCTTTGGTGTTTCTGGGCTCAGAGGGGTAAATGGTCATGTGTTTGCCATGTTAACTCTGTGCCCTGATCAGCCCTGATCTCAGCTAGCTGCCTCAAGTGAAGGGGGCAGAAATTACCTCGTTACTCATGATAGCAAGGGCTAGCGGGATAACAGAGATGGACAGCTGTGATCCAGAACGGAGGGGCAGGCTTGAGGGGCTGAATGGCCTCCTCCTGTTCCCAGTGCTTGGGAAGCATTAATGTTCTGGACTTGGGAGGGAGGTTAGGGCCCTGTGGGGCAGGGTTTGGTGCTCCTGGGCTGTGGGGAAGAGGGTTTAGATGGGTTGCAGCCCAAAACTACCTCTTCCCCCTTGGGACTAAACTCATTGGAATTTAGAGGAATGAGGGGGAATCTTACAGAAATGTATAAAATTTTGAAGGGAGTAGATAAGATAGAAGCAGGGAGGCTGTTTCCACTGGCGGGTGAAACTAGAACTGGGGGCGTAGCCTCAAAATAAGGGGGAACAGATTTACAACTGAATTGAGGAGGAACTTCTTCACCCAAAGGGTTGTGAATTTGTAGAATCCCCTGCCCAGTGAAGCAGCTGGGGCTTCCTCATTGAATGTTTTTAAAGCAAAGATAGATTTTTGAACAGGAAAGGAATTAAGGGTTAGGGTGAGTGGGCGGGTAAGTGGAGCCGAGGCCAAGAAAAGCTCAGCCATGATCTTATAGAATGGTGGAGCAGGTTTGAGGGGCTGAATGGCCTCGTCCTGCTCCTGTTTCTGATGTTCTAGTGTTCTCCCATCACTCCAGCAGAGGGGCTGGTCTAACCCAGGCTGTGTAACAGATTGAGAGACAGACATTGGTCTCTAACCGCTGTCTGAGTCTCGATGATCCAGCCTGTGATTATTATCAGAATCATGGTGTGTGTCAGATAGTGTCTGCTGTTAGTCACTCACTGGTGATGAGCAGGTTTCAACTCGTTTCTGACAGAAATGTCAGTTTGTGTGGATCCTGCTCCCTTCTCCGCGCTGGAGCTTGCTATTTGAAACCCGCAGCAACGTGGGCTCTTCTAACCCTCTCCAGGGACCAGGGTCTCTTCATGGCCCATGTGGGTTAGTGACTCAGGGGGTCTATGCTGGAACCAGTCACTCTGCAGGAACTGGGGCCCTGGAGATGATTTAGCCCGGAGCCTGGTGCACGTTGCGGGAGGCTGGGGCCTGGTGCACGTCGGTGCGGGGGTGGGGGAGCCGGGGTCTGGCGCACGTCGGCGGGGGGGGGGGGGGGGGGGGCGGGGGGGGGGGGGGGGGGCCGGGCGCACGGGGGGGGGGGGGCCGGGGTCTGGAGCAGCTCAGAGGCCGGGACTGGGGCCTGTTATGGTCCTGTAGGAACCATCTGGCTCTCTCTCTGTCTGTCTCTGTGGTTGCTGTGTGATGTTAGTGGGTGTTGGGTCTATTACAAAGTGGGACACTGGAATTTGAAAGCTGCCCAACATTCAGAGCAGCCCAGGAGATCAGGAGGGAAGCAATTCCCAGGCCAGGATTTGGTCTGGATGGATGGTCGTGTCACAGGCTCAGATTATTCGGGAGGGGGTGAGAGTTGGGAGCAAAGTGGGGCTCTCATTCTGGGACCTGAGCCCTGGGAGTAGGAATGAATCAATCCCACCCTGGATAAAGTCAGTCAACAGTTATTGTCAGTTATTGTGGAGCTAAGCAGAGGGTCAAGGTAAGGATGGGAACCTTGGAAGAGCAGAATGAGTGAGTGGGACAGCATTGAGCTGGGGCCTGGGGCCTGAGGTATGGAGTCTGGGCCTGTGAAGAGGCACGGCAGTGCTGGTGAAACCCAGGATCTGTCTATGTCATGCTCCCTGATCTCTCTTTAAATCTTTCCCCACATTTTCCAGTTGGAAACCAGAGTCGAGTTCCCCTACTCCATGACCAGGACACTGCAAGCTCCGGTGAGTAAGCGTTGTGCAGTTTATTCTCACTGAGTACTGA